AAGGATGTTGCTCTACTTTCCTGGTTGGCTCTGGAGAGTGGTTGCACAATTGTGACCACTTAAGACTTCATTTATTTTTGTGTCAAGACCTTTATATATACAGTCTATGGTCAATACCCATTTCATTATGTGTGTTGTAGTGCTGCTGAAGCGGTAGTTAGTATCTTTCTACTGCATTCCTGCAGCCATGCATATTCTGGGCAACATTGATTGTCAAACTTCATCTTTACAAAGCTCTGCTAAGTGCATTACAAAGATTCGCTCTTCTCTATATACGTTAACGTTAAATGTTTCCACTTTGTAGCAGGTTTTAGCTAGCTAACATTGTTGCTTCGGAGCAGTAACATTTTCCGTGTTGGCGTAGGTGACTCTGAAGCTAAGCAGCATGTAAAGTCTAGGGCTATAAACTAATCATATTACTTGATTTGATTGTTTGTTTACCTCTCAATAATTCCATCTGGACATTTTCCCATAAATCTGTGGTTACTCTGTCTCCTTCAGATTGAGAACAAAGAGCTTCGAGATCTCATGACCTTCAGCAAGAGCTTTGTGAAGACAACGAAAGAAGAAAACAGCCAGCCGCCACCACCACCAGCAGCAGCGGTAGCAGAAGAAGAAGAAGAAAAGTCCTCTCAACCAGAGTCTGACTAGTGACCAGAGCAGCTTCAGTGTGAACTGTGGGTGGGGCAAGTGCTTCAGGACAAGGAGACAGGGTGGATGATCTATTGACTGTGTTCACTACATTATTTTTTTACATAGGATGGAATGCAGCATATTTTTTGTAGCGGAGTCCACTTAAACACAACATCCTGGCTATCAGGTGCACTTACATGGTGGTACCAGGACAATAGCTATTGGTGTCATATGTACAGTATGTGTGTTATCACTTACAAGTATTCAATTGTGGCTAGCCTAAGATTCACGTTTAGGGGAATAAAGTCAGTAAAAGGGGATTTATTTTGTTTTTGGCCAAAGATATATTTACTCCTCAAGGACACCGTTTCTACCTCTTTGGTGCCCCTTTGCTGTTCTCACACAATCACGATGTGTAAATACTCATAACCAGCCCTCATATGAGTCCACTTGAAGTCCATAAAGAAGCCAACTTGTAGTGTTCACTATTTTAAAAGGCTGTGCTTCAAAATCACTCTGCCAACCAGTGAGTTTTGGCTTTTTCACACGGTTTGCCTGCTGAGAAGTGAATCATTTGTATGTGATTGTTTATCATTTAATGAATTGAATACGTCTGTTTGTAGAATTCATATATAAGGTGGCCCAGCTGATGGCTCATCATTATTTATGGTAACAATCTTAAAACTTGCCAAGTTTTTGTGTAATGGATATCAAATATTTGTGCACTTTTTGTGTCAGTAATTGTGTATTGTCATCTCAGGAAATCAGTGTTAATAACGTGAACATGCTGTAATGACTTCATGACAGTGTACTGATCTGTGTCAAATTATATTTCATTCAGAAAATAAAAGATATTGTTTTTGTGATTTTGTTGTTGTTGCCATAACATAGAAATGACTGTGAATTATCTTTCTATTCGTTACCGCAAGGTGGCGACATCCAGCCGCTTTAGTTTTAAAGTCATCGCGAGGTTTGCAAGATGGTGTAATGGTGCGTTCACGTATATACATAAACGAACTTTAGCCTTTTAAAGGGTGTTTTTTCCCCTCACATATTTCATCAACAACATCAAGCCGGTGAATAACATTTTTATTTCCCACTTTGACGGATAAGGCCTAACAATGCATGCATTTAATCACGTTTTCCCATCGTTAAAATAATAGGAAAACCCATATTTCCAATAGCACTTGAATGTATCACCAGAGCTGCATTTGACACTTGAAAGGAGCTAGCTACTGTGCAGCATGTCTGAGAAGGAGCTGGGGAAAAAGTGGGACCGATGCCTGGCAGACGGTGCCATTAAACTCGGTAAATATCTCAGAGTATTCCCCTTTTAACTACACTGTATGTCCCGGATTTAAGACCAAATAAGCTACAGTTATTACTGTAGTCCACTACTGTCATTGACTGGGCGAGAGGCTAACTACTAGCTACTAGTAGAGGGCTTGTAAAGGACACCCGAGTGACCATATCGATTTATTTATTTTATAGACACAATTAGACTTAATTATTTAGTTTCATTAGAGTTTACCATACGGTTAGTCGTAATTTCTTTGGTTTCACTTATTTGTTGTTAGAAAGAAGTAGGAGCGCCATTCAGAAAGTGATAACTTGATGCTTTCTTGTGCATTTCATTACGCAATGTTAATATAACCTTAAACAATTACGTTTTACGATGTAACAGTTCCCACTCCTGAATTCGGCATACATATAAAACATGTATTGTAATACCATGTACATTTTGTAAAATGTTTTAGGTAATAGCTCCCTTTAGAAATTGCGTCAGGGAGTGGGATGACATATAACAGATATATGAACGGAGTTTTGGCACTGAACGGTGTAGTCTTCGATACAGTGAGAGGAAACGTCACCCTAGTTTCAGACACAGATATGGGGGAAATACTCTGACGTCACTTCCCGCCATCCTACTGTCAGAATGAGATTGACATTTTATCCACATAGGCTATTTGTAAAAAGGTATTGCGTTACAAAGCAACAAAGCTTGTGTCATGGCTACATGAAAAATATAGAATACATTATGTAAATGTCCATAAGTCCGAGTCAGAATGAGTCAGCATGCACGCAATAGATAAATACAGATGCGTTTTAATTGAACAGTCAAAGTTACATTGTCTTCCTTCCATGTCATAACTGTTTCCCCCCCTCCTTTTCAGGCACTGGTCTGGGGTTAGGAATCGTCTTTTCTGTTCTCTTCTTTAAACGTAAGTATTTCAAAAATAATTGTTGCTGTATCTTGAAGCTTTAATCAAGCTCAAAAGACTAAAGGTCCACCTTTTTCGCTTGCACCTTGGCCATCAAACAAAAAAACATGGGTGTTTTAAACCTGACTAAAACATATTGTAAAGGGATTCAGCTAATTAAAACTAATGCACCAGCACTTACAGTGGGTTGGCTTATTTCAAGTAAATGTACCTATATGTTTGTATCTTCATGGACACTTAAATGAACGCTAAATGAAAAAGGTAATAATCTATGGTATGTTTTTCATACCACTGTGCTTGGGAAGGGATAAAGTATCGGTTTCTTTTGTAGGGCACACCTGGCCCATTTCATTTGGCTCAGGAACAGGACTCGGCATGGCATATGCCAACTGTCAGAATGACCTGCGGTCATTTTATATGCTGCACAGCAGCGAAAAGGTTTGTATGGTCTAAAAATACACATCTTTCCTTAATTAACTCTACTATCAATACACTGTGTCATTGTTTATGCCAATCAAGGCTTATGTGGCTGTTTTCTGTTTTCTTTAACAGGAGCAGTAGCTGTATGTCATCGAGGGATTTTGTTTTGTTTGGACCTTATTGTTTTGTTTGAGAGTCACCATTTGCACTGTTCTACACTAAGATCCTTGTCTTTCTGTTGAACGATCCGTCCCAGTATGTATGATGTGTATGTGCCTGATCAGGACAGTCTGAGTATGTTTAATAAAAGAATAATAACCACAAAAATGATGCCCTGCTGATTCATGTTTTTCTCCGATGGTTGATTTTGGGTGAAACCCATTTAAAAATCCCATTCAACTAAGTTAAAAAAACAAACATAGTAACATAATGTACTATAACAAGATTTTATACACATTAAATGCAGCTTTGAAAATATGTGTTTTCCGTTTTATTTCCGAATGCTAGTGGGAGTATTTTCTGAGGAAAGTGGGGATAGCGATGCAAATGCTGTCCCAGAAGGTGGTGGGTGAGATGGGGTCAGAAGGTTGGCAGCAGTCGCTCTGATGTGACAGATGACAGGGGCGAAGCGACGGAGGAAATTAGTCAGTGCTGAGGGGGCACGGAAATTGGAGAGCTTTGTATTTTATGTTTTAGTATTTGACACGGCTATTGAAAGGCTGATGCGCACATGGTTTTACCCAATCAATTGCTTTTATTTTATGATAATTTCTATTCATGTGCTCCTGCTGGGAATTGAATCATTATTTGGATTGAGAATGATGTAGGAACAAGGTGAAGTGTCTGTTGTTTTCTGAGTTGTTAGAACACAGGAGTGTGAATTTGTTAACCAACGGTAATTATGAGTCACTGAAAAATATTTCATGAACAGTTGATAAACGGGCACCTGGCCACAGTGAACGCAAAAAGACGAAACAATGGAAACAAAGTTTGACATAATCTTGCAAATTAAGTGCAATTATAATATGCAAAATAATTGATTGCATAAGTATTTGACATTGGCAAGGACGATAGTGCTAAAAAGCCTAATTGTGATTCAATCTTGTGAATTATTAAAATGAGACACTACATGTGAAAACATCTGATTTCTAGAACATTTTATTCCTAAAAACATGGCAAACTGTCGACAGTATTTTCTGATTCATCAAGTGATCCAAAAAGACATTAAAACAATCTTAATGTTATATTATGTTCATGTTCCTGACTGCATTCTATTTTCACATGTCTGGCCCGGTAATGTATGCAAATTGGCACATTTTAAGGTAAAGCCTCATTTTCATATTTAATCATAACATTTCAGAAAACTTACAATACTCAGAAAAATTGTCTTAATAATCAATTTGGGAAGTTTAGTGGGGATATCTATTAGTTAATGGAGTAGTCTACACTTAATATGTCTATAAATTGTACCAATTAAAACAAAAGCAGTAAGAATGCAACATTTCAGAGAAATTCTACCTTTGTAGAAATAAGCCAGTAAAGCCTGACAAAGCTGTCATGTTAGTTGTACCTTAGTAGACAAAAACACCATTACCAAACATGGAAAAAAGACCCACTACACCAATTCCTATGTTTAATAATGATCATTTCTTGGCTGTGATGTGCATGGTTATGCATTAACAGCTCCATGCTTTGACACGCTCCTTCTCAAAAGCTGTGCGCTCAGGCTGGCAGGCGCGCTGGAGTGGCCGACACAGGGATTATCTGGAGCGAGGAATATAAAGGAAGCGGTACAAGGACTATGATACCTGTAGAGCACTTATGAACAGAGCCTGGCTTGCAAATGACCGCTGCACAGTTTTGTCTCTGTTCCCGCTCCCACCAGGCTGTCTCCAAGAATAAAAGGACTTGTGGAAGGCAGCAGAGCTCCGGCTTAGCGAAGGTCTTGCGGAAGCTTTACAATCCCTCTTCTATAGGCAAGAATGTAATTCTGAGAATTGGTCCTTGCTCTTTTCATCTTCAATAGTTCCTCTCACCGGCACAGCTCTCTTATGCCTTATCTCTCTGTGTGCCCTCCTCCAATGCCTGTCATCAGTGTGACATGCTGCTTCGAAACCCTCTGTAAGCCATCGAATGGCTCATTCTGCCTCTTAGCTGTGGATGAGGCAGGGACATGCTGGCCAGGATGGAGAGATAAGTGAAACTGTGATACTAGTGGCAGTGGAAGTAAGCCCACGGCCCCTGGATGTATTCCTGGCAAACAGAGATGGAGATATTTACCAATGGACAAGGAAATGGTTTGAAGGCATCTCAACACAAGACCTCAATGGCTTCTGTTTCTTCAAGAATGAACCTTTTGACGCAAAGGAGAACTGGTTAAGGTTCGTGGCATATAGTGGCGCTTGAAAGGGAACTTCCAGGAGTTAGTTCATTGCCAACCCTTACCATGGCTGACTCTCACTACAACAGCAGCGTTACCACCACCAGTGCTTGGAACATCACCGGCAGCGGCCCCTGGTTGTTGGCCTTCATGCTGACCGTCATCATCCTCATGACCATCTGCGGTAACATTTTGCTGATCGCAGTGGTGTTCGCCCATCGCTCTTTGCGTTGCACCTCGAACTGCTTCCTTGTTTCTCTGTTCCTGTCCGACCTCATGGTGGCACTGGTGGTCATGCCCCCCGCCATGCTGAACGTCCTGTGCGGTTCCTGGGTGCTCTGGCCTGCCTTTTGCCCGATTTGGCTCTGCTTTGACGTCATGTGCTGCAGCGCATCCATCCTCAACCTTTGCGTGATCAGCCTGGATCGCTACATCTTTATCATCTCGCCACTGCGCTACAAGCAGAGGATGACCCCACCTCGGGCCTTGCTCTTGGTAGGAGCTGCATGGGGGTTGGCGGCGTTGGCCTCCTTCCTGCCCATTGAGATGAAATGGCACAGCTTGGGCCATGGGAGCGGACACTTGCCAGCTCCTGGGGTCAGCAGTAGCAACATGAGTTCTTACTCTGACACCTTGTACCCTTCATCCTACTTTCAACTGTCACCGTCTGGAGGCCTTTCCTTCCAGTGCCGCCTGCAGGTCACCCTGCCCTTTGCCTTTGTGGGGTCTGTACTCACCTTCTTTTTGCCCTCCAGTGCCATTTGCTTCACTTACTGTCAGATCCTTCTAGTAGCGCGGAGGCAGGCAAAGAGGGTTGCCGCATTGAGCCACCCGCCGCATCCGCATCCCTCTCTAGGGGAACCTTTCAGGTCTCCTTCACCTGGGGTTGATGGAGGGAACGCTCAGCACGACGGGGATGACTGCAGTCACCAGGAACCTCCAGTGTCACAAAATGTACCGGTAAGAAAAATGAGATACCAAACAGTTAAACAAACCAGCCAGGGCAGTGATTAGTGTGTGACCAGAATTATGAATACAATCCTCAACACTCTCTGAGAAAACTCAAGTACCTGTTCATCATCATCGCCTTCCAGATTTCTGCCTCCTGCTTCATCAAAAGAACATAACAAACAATAGTAGACTGGCCTTTAAGCAGTCCGTGATGAGAGTAGGAGATGAAAAGGTGGATTCTGTGAGGAGCAGATGGCACAAAGATAATAGGCAAATTACGGTTCTCCAACTCTTCTCAATCTTATCTTTTCCTTGACATTTAAGGTTTGACATAATACTATCCATGCCATTTCCTTAAAATGCCAATTATACTGATGAAATCCACTGCTTGGTTCAATATCATCTAAGTGCAGCAATTATAAACCTGGAAATGTTATGATTATGCATGCTTCAAATGTGGAAGAAAACACTTCAGGGACGCTCTTTGAAAGCTGTTTTTTGCCAGCCCTTAGTAAACGCACTTGACTTTCCAGAGTTGCTTGATTTAAAAATTACCTGGGAATCATTTGAAAGTATATCTGAAATTAAGAATGACTTGGCCAAAACCTTTTGTGTGTTTCGTACAAACTACATTGTGTTTAACATGGTTGAGGTTAACTGTCAATACAAAGAAGCTATTTAGTAATAAATGAGTCAGTTGAAATGGCAAATATCCTAACCTATTCATCTTTGTCAGGCTGTAAAAAGAATCAGAAGAGATACGCTCAACGTAAGTCAATGTCGAAGAGATAAAAAAGGCTTTTTTTCTCTTCCTTTATTAAAATGAAGAAAATAAATCCGGTGAAAGGGAAGTGGTGTCAAACCGGTGCCAAAGTCTTAGAGAGAAAAGTACAGACGGTGTGTCAGATGTGCTGCCCCCGTCTGCAAGGATCACAGCCACACAGTCTGTCACATTTGCCTGCATACAAAACATACACACACACATACAAGTTCTCATATCCTCGGATTCATTTTGACACCTTGACTTTTAGCATCCTGATTTTTCCCAATCAAATCATTCTTTCGTTCATTAAAAATATTCTTTATCAGGCTTTACAACTCTTCATTAAAGACGGGGTTTCAAACCTTTTGTAATGCACCATTCCATCAATAGGACATTTATATTCTAGACATGTTGTGCATTATGTTATAGGCTACATGTTTCCCCAAAGATTAGGCCTGACATATTTGGTATTTTTTGGTATTTCCAATGTCCACTCAAACTTTAAATGGGCCCTAGTATGCTTTTTGGGGTTTTCCCTTTCCTGTAGTGTGTTATATAGGTTTTTGTCAATGTAATTAGTCTGCAAAGGCTAAAATCCCAAAGTTCACACCAGAGGGAGTTTCTCACCCACACACTCCCCCCTGCCTGAAACACCTCGAAAGGACTCCTTTGTTTACTTATAACACTTCTATAGGCTAGCGCACCAAATCATTGTACGTGAAAGGCTAAGGGGCATCTTTAAGCGTTTGACCAATCCCAACAGAGCCAGGGCTCTCCTTTCTGACGAACTGCTAAATGTAACTCTAACTTGAGCAGAAGCCTCTTGCTTCCTTCCGCAGAGATACGGTTGGAGGGTGTAGTTCGGTAGAAAAGCAAATAGTTCTTACATCAAACTGATCACAAAAAGCTCTGCGAATTAACTTCAGTAACTGGGTCAGGATTTCTGGAAAGTGGCATTACTGTTTAGTTTTCAATAGATTATTTTTTCTACAACATAACAAGCCGTGCCATCTAGTTCCATTATATAAGAGAGAAGGCAGACATGTCTACTAGGGGTATTTTCAACACTCCACTGCCTAAATCAAACAATCCAGATCGATAAGTATCACTATAGGTAAGAGAAAAACATGTATTTTGGATTTTCTGTCCACAGCCGTCAGTGAACAGTGAGCGGCGTCTGGCCCACAGGCAGGGTCGGAGGGCACTGAAGGCGAGTCTGACACTGGGAGTTCTTCTTGGACTCTTCTTCAGCGCTTGGCTTCCATTTTTCATCACCAACATGGCACAGGTCAGTCGAAGATCCAGACACCAACTCTACCTCAGATATGACACAAAAATTCAGTCAGTAAATATGAAAAATACACTGGTAACAGGAAGTTGGCGGCAATGTAAGATATACGATCAGATTAGTTGGAAGTTGGAATAGCCTTCACCTAGGCCTATATCGTGCGCAGACAAGTGTTCAATCTTCATTCTAAAGATATTCCACAATCACTATTTAAATAATCTGGAGTTTGTTTAGCTGTTCTATTCTACATATCTGAGTCATTTAGTGTTTCTTTTGTAAGCTTTCACAAATGTATGTGTGGTGGCACCACAACGGTGTGAAACAAATGCAAAAGGAAGAAAGATGAACGAGAAGAAAACACACTTGGATACCAGACTATTTTTGTATTGGCGTCATAGCCTTGCCAAGCAATCCAACAAGGAAATAGATTGGCATTTCAGCTTCGTGCAGCTGACTCATTCCCAAACCCAGATAACAACACAGCACAGCACCATTTATTTTTAAGTTGTTGATTTTGATTAGATTCACTCATTAGTCAGCGGACAAACTTTGGAGGCCATTGAAAAAACGACGGCGGGATGAAATCAATGTCGAAAAACAGCTTAATCTAAATTGGTAATGACACTTGTCCTGTTTTTCAAGCTTTCAATGATCCAGTCATTTGGATTTCCCATCTGTGCCCTCTCGCTTATCCCCTGCATAACATAGAGCACAGAGACTTGACTGTGTCTGCGCTCTCCTTCCTTTTCACACTCAATGTGGTGTGTGAAACGCACCCCTCCTTTCCGTCCTATTCCCACCGCCTCCCCGTCTCATCTTGATAGTATTGGAAGCTCTCCTCTAACAGCTGTCTCCTCCTTCACTGTCCTTCTCTAAATCTAGTTGCAATGTTCAAGATCAGTGTTTTTTCCCAGGCAGAAGCAAATGTATTTACAAGTTCTACTCGAGGAAAATTAGATGTTTATCAAGAAGAGGAATGATTGACAGCACATATATATGTGATTAGCAGGGGAAAAATCTGTGTTCTTCTTGTTCTGCTATTCGAGTTTCCTATAGAGGCAAAATGCACAAGGAAAATTGAATAAATAAAATATTTGAAATATATTTATTTCAGAGCTGCCTTTTCTCTATTGCCTTTTAAGCAATACTCTTTTGTTGGTTAGATTTGTTATTTATTTATTTCTCTACCCAATTTCTTAATCTTCCGATTTATTTCTGTATTTATGAGTATTATCGTAAACTAACCCCCCCCCCCTCTTCATCAGGCAGTGTGTGAGTGTGTCCCCCTGGCGCTTTTCGACGCCATCACCTGGCTGGGTTACTGCAACAGCACGATGAACCCCATCATCTACCCGCTCTTCATGAGAGACTTCAAGCGGGCTCTGGGGAGGCTGCTGCCCTGCTGTTCCTCTCAGTCGCCCCGAAGACCCTCGCCAGCGCTCTCCCTGTCTCTCCGCAACTCAGGAGAGCCCATGATCGCCAGCGACCCGCCCTCCCCTCTGCCCTCTGACCCCATGATCCCCCCCGCCACCGCCACTGATGCCGTCAACCTGCTGGATGCTGAGCACGCTGGCATCGAGCAGCCTCTGCTTCTGCCCAATCAGGTGGACACCCTGGACTGAATATGTGAATGCTAATATTTTGTGGCAGGAGAGACTCAAAGTGTGAGTTAAAAGACTTAGGAAGAAATAAGATCACTTTTTTATTTTCACAGAAAATGTCTAGACAAATTCACTAGTTCAATTAAATATGGTTGAAGAACTTGATGTAGGTGCATTTTGTAAAATAAAATAAAAATTCAGGGAATATTTTCCAGTCAGATCAGTGCCAAGTATATACACAATACAATCCTGAGGCTCTATGGAAAGGAGCACTTGCTTCAAGGGCAAGGGTAGAACAGAGAGAAAAAAAAGGCTTGAAGAATACACATTCACTGAATTACTCACCGCCTTATGGAAATTAAATTACTGTGATAATATCCATAGCAACCGGGCCACAGATGATAATTAGATAGACGAGAGGAATAGAGGTATCACCTATTTTGTAGCATTCTCTTAAAAAAACCCTGTGAAAACACAGAACAAGTATTTGATCTCACAGTTAGATAGAAATAAATTATGTCACTATTAACAGCTTGTATAAAATGTACTTCATAAAACATTTTTTTTAATTAAACTAATAGTAAGTCCAACATTTTGTACTTAAAGTTTAACAAAGGGGGTTTTCACTCAAGCCTTCCATATGCGTGCATTGACTCTCTAGCTATTCTTGGCATGTCAGTGTGTTGAGAATGGGATGAATATTTTCTCCAATAAAGCTTTGATGCTAAAAAAAACAACTTGAGAAGATGAGATTTTTACAAGGAAGCAGCCGATCCACAAACATGCTCTTTACAAGTCTGGCTGCCTTTGTTTATGTGTGTGCTCTGTAGTCCAGTGTGTATCATCCCAGCTCCATGACACATGTTCATTATCCTCCGCGGCGTCCAAAGGGGCATTGAGAGCAGACCCTTTGTCGCCCTCAGTTGCATTTTCCTCTGAGGTAAGCGGTAAATTGTTCCTGTCTGATTCCGTTTCATTTAATGAGTCCAGCAGGTCTGAAATATCAGGGATATCCCACCCGTCACCCAGTTCCTCTGTCACGTCTCCACTTTTTTCTGCACAGGTCTCCTCAGCTTGTTTTTGTGTGTCTTTTGTCTTTGTGTCAAGGGTTTGGTCAGGGATTACCACTGTCCCGTTTGTAATTATTACAGACTGAGGAAGAGCAAAGGAGGCTCCAGGCACTTCTTTGGTGGGAACTCCTACCGCCACTAAGATGGTGTCCATATGACGCATGTAGTCCAAGTGGCCTTTCACCTGGGAAGAAGGAACATGGTGTTACTGTCTCTGACTAAAAGGAGGACAATATAGAGTGGTGCAGTGATGACGTATTTTTGGAAGTTAACTCTGAAATAAGCATCGCAAGGGCTCCCTAAACAAAAACCGCTGGAATTATTTTGAGGTATTGCGGAAAAAAAGTTCTTACATGTTTGTTACAGCAGAATAATCTTCTCATATTAACACCACTTTATGATGAAATGTAAATGTGGGTTACTTCAAACAGTAGATTAAGTAAATAGCTAAAGTTAGACTATTAGCAAACTATATCAGGGTTGCATGGCTGCACATTAGAACCGCTAAGCTAAAGGTGGCTAATGTTTGTGTGCTGACATTTATGGCGCATTTCCATTGCAGGTCTCCCTTGAAAAAGAGATCAATGATTGTATTGTCATACTGATATTCTGTACAAACTGTGAAGACCGCTGAGACAAATGTAACGTTTGTGATATTGGGCTATATAAATAAACATTGATTGATTGATTGATTGATTGAAGGGATACACCTGGATAAATAAAGGTTTGAAATGAAATGAACCAAAAACGGGCCGCGCACGGCACGCTTAAACCGCGCTGTAGTGGAAATGCGCCATTAGTAGTCTAATTAACTCACTTGTTTTTCTGACTCAGATGTGTCTTATTTTAAGCTTGTGTTAACTGCAGATTTATTTCAAGACATTTAATCAACATCATGTTAAAAAAACGAATTTCCGGGTTTTAGGACTCATTCCTGCACCACTCTATTTCTTTGTAAATTATAGTGTACATTTAATTTTGTTCTTATTTCTCATAATTTATTTTATTGAATTGTATATTATAGAAATAAAACCTGTCATTTTAGGACCATTTGATCCCAATTATATAATGACAGTATAAAAGAGCAATTCACTTCTAATTCTTATGAATATTAATTTTAACTCTTGAATTGGAATGTGCATTTTTTTTAACATATCCTGAACAATTTAAGAATAAATAAAACCACAGCTTTGGGCTCTCTTTACAAAAGTGTGTGCAAAGCCCAAGTCTTGTAATGCTAAGGAAACCCCTGCTGTTTATTCCAGCATCAAATTGACTTAAAGCTTGGTGAATTTCTTACCTATAGAAAAATGTTAGCACAACATGCAATTTCAGGGCAGCGGAAATGATGGAGGTCACGTCCATATCTCATAAAATAAGTCGAAAATGTGTTTATGGTGACACGCCTTTACCAAGGGAAATATTGTATGGTGCTTCAGATTTGTCAAGCATCTTTTTACCACACTTTTTCAAATGTTTGGTTAATTAGAGGTTAAACCTCAGATGTTTTGTAAAGCATTGACATGTTGAAGTTTCATGTGGAATCTTGAGGATTTACAGGTTGGCAGAAAGGCATTGCTGTAAACTGAAACAAACCAGCAGGGGCCTTATTTTGTTCCTTTCTTTTCTTCTTACTGTCTCTTTTGAAGTGCTAAATAATATACAATTCATAATACTTCAAATGTAATTTAATGTAATAATATTTCACCAATAGAAATGGTTATGGAACCCTTGTGTCTTATTACATTTTCAATTTTGATTAGTGTCAATTGTTTTTTTTAAGGGGAAATCCTTGAGATGTACTTCAAAAAATTATTCATTTAGTGGAGCCTCATTTCAATATAAGCTCAGACTTACCATGGAGGAAAGATCCACATTAATTATGCGCCGATCCTTGATGTTGATTGGCTGTAGCCCGGCAACAGACAGTTGTGCAGATGAACTTCGGTACAGGAACCCCAGGAGCCAGTCCCCTCTGAAAGGCGGATTGTCCAGAATGTCATTTATTCATGAAATACTAAAATCACAAAGACTGTAGTTTCTGAATCTTAAATATACTTAACGAGTAGACCAACACTACGAAGCAACTGGAAGCTTTTACTTTTACCTTCATGATTGCTGAAGGATAGAGCTTTTTTTTTAATTACCTGCAGTAGCCGTTCACTATTCTTCCAGCTACGACCCTCGTGATTCTCTCCCAGGCCTTTTCAGAGCCGTCCACAGGAGCCCCCAAGAGGACTACATCCTCCACTACCCCTTCACTTCCTGAGGAAACACAACACAGGGCTTAACTGGTCTGTCAGAACACAGAAAAAGAGAAAAATTAAATTATTATATATACACATTTAAATGTGTAGATTTAGGACAGACCCCGTAGGCAAAAAGTAGATGTTTCAAAAGAATCAGAATCAGGTTTATAGTAGTAGTTTCATACATCAAGGAATTTGCTTTGGTGTATAATGGTGTATACATGAACACAATTAGAGGAATTCAGTAGTAAAAAAGGAGCAGATGTATAACGGTTTTAAAATCTATTTTAGAAACTGGGGTTAGCCCATGATATTAGTCAAATAAAATGGTCTTGTTATTTCTAAATGCTCAAAATCATAGGGGTCCACAAGGCACGGTGGAAAATACATTTTATATTATTATTTGTGGTATTATTTTTTAAAGTAAAGCAATAAGGAAATATATGTGCAAGACATTAGAAATAAACAAATGTGCAAAATTAGCTTACATCTTTTTAACATAAAGCATAGTTCAATGAGTGGGCAATTAATACACATTTTTGGTGTGTTTTTCTCGTATGTATTCCTTTCTGAAGTCTGTTTATTTCTGATTTAATCTTTTCTGTAAATGAACACAAATGATACTCTGCTTGAACACAAAAGAAGGATAACATTGTTTTTAAGAACAACTTGGTAGACAGTTAGTGCAAGGAAATGTGGATGTGCATCTATTTTCAATGCATAATGAAAATATGGATTATGCACAGAATGTAGTTTATACCTTGGTCATTGGCAAGCTCCTGTAGACAGTAGTAGATAACTCTGGCCCCGAGACTGAAGCCTATCAGGCTGACAGGCCGCTTCCCCTTCAAAAACAGAACAGAGGAGAGACGAACAATATTGAAGTAGCTTTCGTTCGCTGCTTTCTGCTTTCGTTTTTTACTGAACAGAGGCATTATTCTGAGCATAAAGTCCTATTTCAGGTTAATAACTATAGCATTTCATATAGCATATCACATTTTCTTTTTTTCTAGTATTCTAGTCAATCAAAAGAACAACCAACATCATGGTTGAATATGAGCTAGTACAATTATAATGTGAACACATATAACCCTTATATAGTGACAGCTGACACAATACTGTGGTGCATTATGGTAAGAAGTGTCCAAACAGAGTTTAAGAGTACTGTGATACCTGCTGTCTGCTCCTCAGAACCTGCGCCAGGTGTTTCCCCACCTCAGCCGAGCGGTTCAGACACACACACCAGGGGTGGTCGATGACGCTGGCTGCTGCCAGCAGAGACGCCGGCCACGTCAGAGCCGCCACAATGCCTGGACACATATTAACAAGCAAGACAACAAGAAGCTAGATAAGAACAATGGCTAGATACGATAACCAGGACTGTTTAACAGCAACCAATAGCATTCATTTTTGCCATCACATATTTACAACAGTGAATTAGTACTATGCTAGAGAGAAAAAAAGGAATTCCCGCAAATAAAGTTGTGAATTTAGGAGACAAGACCTTGGATGTTCTCTGAGATACTTACTACAACAATAACATATATTTGCTAGAAAAACTCGATTAGGTCATCAACGGCCTCTGTGGTGTGATGATTGTGTTATCTCAGAGAACATCCAACTTTTGGGGATTTTAAATGTATGACTTTAACTCTGACTATTTCCCTCTTTCCCCGACTAAATATACAATGGCTCTAATACACTGTCACACAAGTGTGAAGTAGAGAACAGAACGTATTTGACCACAAGCTCAAACACTCCTGTTCCAAACGCAGATCCTCTGAATAGTCTAAATGCGTCCTGCTCGACCCGTCCTCCTACCTGAGAGCACGGTGTACTTGAGCGCCTCCTGGGCCACCATGCTGACCAGCCCGTCCAGCAGAGAGGCCATGGCTGAGCCCAGATCCCTGAGGAAGCGGGACTCCCACACCAGGCAGTACTGCTCCCCGCACTCCCCCAGGCTGCACCATGGGGCCTGGAACGAACCTGGAAGACAGGATTTTATGTCAGGAAACGACTAAGTAGCACTTTAAGTGAAGTGTTTTTTTTTTACCATTGTCAGTGAAGGAGGTACTAAGCTTGTATTTCATAGCGGGGGACGAGAGATGTAGCATTTTATGTAAAAAGCATAAATTGAGTGGTTTATTTGCATAATCTCTTGGACATTGGTATAGAACATATTTTAGAACATTATATATATAGAAATTGTATTCATTGGGATAAACACCTTGAGATGCACCATCTCGTTTTCAAGGGGGTCCCGAAAACATTACTGTATGTGCAGAACTGTGGCCCAGATAAAAAGAATTATTTTAGTTTCTCTTGATATTTGTATTCTTCCTCGTTTTTTGCCAAAACACTGTTCGATTTAAATTGTCACCCAAACTTTTCAAAACATTACAAAAAATTCAGGATTCATTTCAGTTTTAAATGAACATATTGAATATTCTACTTATTTTTAAAGGTTAAATATGTTATCAAAAACACTTTTTTGTCAAATGTAGCTGATACGGGATAAAGGTTTACTGGCAGTCAGTTCTGTGTGCACTCTGAAAAAAATACATCTGGTGTTGATATCCAGCCATGGCTATGTAAATAGACTGCCAGGTCAAGGGAAAGGGCATGGATGTATAAAGAGAAAGGTTGGAGCAAGGGAAAAGCAATGATGGGAGGTGGGTATTTACTTTATTGTCATTTTGAATTTGAAAGCCTTGCATGTTATGGCACAGAGCTACCTGGCTAATCTTCTCTGTACCAGCCTGTAGCCTGAGGTCCGGTGATAAGACCTGTTGGCTGGTCCCCGGTCATGGCTGAAGACCAGGGTTGGTATGAGCATTTGCTGTTTAGGTCTATAACCTTTGGGGATTATATACCTGAGGAACAAATATATTCACTTCTCATATTTAATTAATCTCTGCAGACTTTTTTCTACTGTTGCCCTTTTCATAAACATTTGTTACTTTTATTTGTTTAAAGTGCTCTTTAGCGTACTATAACCATTGTTTTTAGCGCTGCTGTTTTATGTGTTATTTATATTTGATTACTCTCTTTTTTTTTTATTACTTTAGTTGTTAAAAGCATTATCTTGCACACTTTTTATGATAGTGTGCAAGTTTCTATCGCTAAGTTTCTATCGCTAAGTTTCTATCGCTAAGTTTCATGTTATTCCTATTCCTACTGTGATTTTGTGTTTTATTGCGCTCCTGCTTTCTTAAATGCGTCTTTTGTTTTGTCAAGCACTTTGTAAAGGAAGTAATGAAGTGCTTTACAAATCAAGTTATTTTTATTTCTTAATAGAGGTCAAATATTATTATTATTATTAAAAAAAGTATTTACCCATATCAACCTAACCTGAACAATGGACATTGCAAGTGGTTATAGTGACAGTGGAAGCCATGTACTTACTGTATTTGCCACTGCAGAGCCAACCTGTCACTGCGATGGTCAGGTGAAGTTGCTTCCCTGAGCGCAGCGGCAGGAACTCAAACTCCTCAATCGCCCCGACACACTTATTCATCTTATAGCCTGGAGAAATAACGTATGAAAATGAAACAATAGCAGAAATCAAGAAGAAGAAGATTAGAAAGAGACTGAGAAACATCTGTCTAGGGGATACAGGTGAAATGCAGCCTCTTTGCTAACCCTAGTATACTCACACCAATATCTAATAATGTGCATTGTCCCTATTACATTTATTAAAACGATGTGAAATGGGAATACCACAAATGTGTATTTTCCAAGTTCAGTCAAAATTCAAACGTATTCCTGCACACGAAGCTCTTACCAGTCAATCCAGCTCCCGCTGCTCCAAACAGAGAGGCCATGATTGCTATGCCAGTGGCTGAGCCCAGAGCAGCAGCCCCCCCCCGCCCCCAGCACAGCACCGGCCCCCACTGCCACCAAGGGGGCTGCCAGCCCACCTGTCACACCTGGCAGAGGCACAAAGAGGGTAGTCAGTCAGTACAGAAGAAATAAGCCAGGATCCTTTTTTTAGAAAAGTCTACAGAGGGAAAATACAACTCCTGAAAGAGAGTGGTGATGGAAATGGAATCCACATGCATTATTATGATCAAATATCAGTGGATTAGGTTATCCACATAAGATACTTGATTGTTTCAGATGTCCATTTAAAGCATTTGAGGCAGGAATAATCACCAATCACAGTTCCTCCGCCCACAGTAGCTAGTCCAATCAGGAGGTAGCGTCGTAACCTTCTCCCTCTTTCTCTCCTCAGCCGCCGAGAGGACTCCTCCCTGAAGGAAGCAGATCATCTGCATTAGTTTAAATATTATTGGGCTCAATAAATACAAATGTCAAATGACTCTTGTAGTGGGTAACGCGACCTTTTGAAAACAGTGCACTGCTTGTTTATGCCACATAAGCATTTCATTGTATCATTTTGGATAAATGGGCTAATAGTTTTGTTTACACCCTCTGAAACACACCGAGTTTGGAAAAAAGGTTAAATCAGAAGATATTATAAAGTAGTATTTGAGATTAATTTATATTAAGTGTACACATCATTCATCGCAGAATGAAATCTCATCTGTTTTGACTGCACTTAGGCCAATAATGAAAACGATTGTCATTTCTGTATGTAGCACTTAAAGGTGGGGTAGGTAAGTTTGAGAAACCGGCTCGAGATACACTTTTTGTTATATTCCATGGAATGCTCTTAACATCCCGATAGCAATGAATATCTTAAGTGCTTTGACAAAAAATCCATACAAAAATTTCATCTGTGGAACCCGTAATACTGTAAAAAGTACAACCAATCCGTTTAGCCGGCCCGGCTAAACGGATTGGATTGCCGCCCTGTCTGTCAGCCTTCCATCTCGTGCACGCACAAATATATCTCGTGCCCTCATTGGGCGTGCCGTCATTGGGCGTGCATTGCAGCAATACTTCAATGACTCGCCAGCAACAGGCGGCCACTTTCACCAGTCTGCTGACGTCATGTGCGCGTTCATGTGTGTTGGAGGAGGTGCTCTGTAAGGAAGTCTGAAGGAAGGGGCGGATTCTTTTCGGCTGTGTACTTTCAAATTTTAGTGCACTCGAGCCGGTTTCTGAAACTTACCTACCCCACCTTTAAGGTGTGGCTCGTTTAAAGAGAATTCTTGTTGTAAGTAATTCAAGTAATTAATAGTGATTTTAGCCATTAGACATGCAATTTAATTTCAATATATATTTTTACAAGACTAAAATAATAAGTTGTTAGTTATATAATTCCAGTTATGTATGAATATGAGTCTTATTTTGAAGGTTGCGTTCTGAAGTCTTGTTGTGACACGAGTAAGAGTGACAGCATTAAGAAAGTAGCAAGCACGGACAATGTAATGCTCCAGTAAAAGGTTGATACTGTAATATGGTAATTAAGAAACCTGAAGACTTCCACCTTTTCATTGCATGCAGCAAATTAGGTATTGTTGTTTTGTTTTATTTAACTTTTATCTACTTTAGTAAAACATCCAGTGCATGCAATTGTTTATGAATCATGGTCCTATGTTTCTCTCGTTTATACTGCATGTTAAACCTAACAACTGCCACAATCATACATCCTTCAATCCAAACATAACTTACTCGCTCTCCTCCCCCCCTTCCCTCAGCTTTTCTCCCAGTGTTTCCTCGAACTCCTCCAGCTGCTTTGTGAAGACTCGCAGCAGAGAGCCGACATGGCGGATGAGAACCCTCGATCTGGCATCGTACTTGCCTGAGTGAGAAGGTAACAGAGCATGAACGTTATCAAATATCTTTCATAACTTTAATCAGTTTGCACCGTGTAATATTAATTACAACTATTAATTCATCAAAGCATTCTTACCATCTTTGACAGAAAAAGAGACCAGATCCTGTAAGAAAAAAGAAAAGCGGGTTATAATGTGATGTCGAAATATAGACAAAAATGTATAGAATACAATTGAATTTATGTTGTTATAAATAAAGCAAGAAGATCTGTTAGCATGATAAGTTGAGAAACAGGACTATCAAAATAATGTTATATCAAATAACTGTTTCATGATACACATTCATTATAGATGAAATCAATTGTTCATCCAGTTCTTTATACTGTAATTATTATTTTAAAATGCATACATCTTTGACTCAGTATCACTGTAGTTCAATTATACATTTAAATCTCATCTGCTCTATGGCACACATTTACAGACAACAACCTATTCTAAATCCAATTTCCAACAAGTTGCAATACATTTAAAAATCATTGACTCCTCAATTTAAGTGCCAATCACATGTATGATGGGAGTGGCCCCAGAAGCCAGCAGAGGTTCGGCCTGTAAGGTGGAGAGGAAGGTGTCGGAGCCTTCAAAGCCCAGGCCCGACAGGAAAGCCCCCATCACCGGCATCACCGACTCATCCAGGTCCAGCCAGCGGACCAGGCCCTGCAGATGCTGCTCCCTGAACGCACTGAGAAAGAAACATCATTCAGTTTGGTTAACATTTTTCATTTCTACAAACAAATTATTAAAAGGCCAGTTGTCATGATATTCTGGAGGTTTAATCTGCCTACTGCTGCTATTTTTTTTTTAAATGTCAACAATACAAATGTATGTGGGTCACTTCTTAAAGAGTGGGTGTGAATCACTCCATTTATTTGTACATGTTGTAGGCAAAGTTATAAAGTAACACTATTATTGCTACTTTTGTAATTATTATTACTCTAATTAGTATGTTTTTGTATTCATAAATTAGATTCTGTATTTTAATGCATTTATTTGTTTATTATTTTTTAAAGAGCGTTCTCCTTGTGTCTTTTTAAATTATTACCACAAAGGGTTGTCAACTTTGGAACACATTACCCTCTAATATGAAATTCATTCCAGATATAAAATCCTTTAACACGAGCCGTACCTATTTTTAACACATGTACTTTAAGAACCAATGTGTATTAGTGTAGACGTGCATTGTTGTAATTATGGTGTGTGTAATGTGTATTGTATTGTATTTCCATATTTGAAGTGTATTCTCGATCTATGATACCGAACTGTGTATATTATAACAACGCTGTAGCCTATATGTAAATACCGAACTAGGGTTGGAAATGAGCTGCAATGGATCTATGTAAAATAGCTTCGTCCCTATCAAACAAAACAGATCCAAATTCAAATTCAAATTAGAGGAATATTGATGGTAGGCTTTTAGGTAGGGGTTTTATTGATTTTACAAGGAAGGACACAACATCTTATGATGACTGTATCCTCATGGCTCTGTTACCTGTTCTCAGGTCCAGTGAACAGATGACCCAGAGACACAGCACACAGGGCAGCATAGGCGAAGCGGCCCTGCTCACTCAGCTGTCTGCTAATGATATCCTCGGGCCTGGGGTCACGTGGGGCATCGTGTGTTGCTCCTGCCCCTCCTGGGTCTGAAGTGATAAATGGACAAGGCTTAATTATTAACTTCAAGGTAGTAGTTTGATTCACATCCAAGAATGAAACCAAAAACAAGTAAGTGACATATCAAAAACACATGAAGTCAACACCTAAAAAAGTATGCTTTTGAGAGTAAACAGACAATGTGTAGGAATATTTGAAATGCTGTTAGGTGGACCACCTGCATGCCGAATTTATAAGAAGACCCCAATGATTGGTGTGAGGGCTTTTGACAGGCAAAATAATATGTTTATGTCACTTAATAGAGATTTAGCATTGAACTGAACAGTTTTAAAACGTGGTTTGGTTTGAAGTTTTGTTCAATTCCTGCGAATAGCTACACGGAACTATAGATTTAGTTTCTGTGACATCGTTTATCTGAGGAAATGGACTGAATTAAACATATAGAGAGTGCGTAGTGTGACCAATATGTTTAAAAAAAAATCTTCTTAGATATATTTAAAAAGTAAACGTGTAACTTAAACCAGTGCATGTCAACAACACTTGGGTTAGCTGCTAAACACAGCTGGCTGGGAGTGACTGCTGCCTGGGCTGTTAACTTTGGTAGCTAACGGTCCACCGGTAACTTTGATAATGTCGTAAATGTAATAATGTTAGCTACTGCCGTACTGTGGAAAATAACAAATTAATTGTATTTGGTACCTGGAGTAAAATTCTGATCCGTACTGCTCTGTTTTTCCTCCATGGCTACAGATATCTCCACTCTGCACACTAAACTTTCGATGCGTTCACGTGCTCCTCCTGGGCTCTGACATCTGACAATTACATGTGAAACGGCCCCACAGTCTATAAACTACGTAACTTCCTAAAACGTGTAGCATATATATCTGTTACCGACCTTCTATAGCACCGTATAAAAAATACAGCGTCCTGTGTTACACCACAAACTGTATTGGGACATTCACATGGCTGTTCACGGATTTATATTAATAATTTCGAGTGTCCTTGAAGGCATCATTTGTTTGCAACTTTTAAGTGACGCAACGTCCACGTACACCTATAATGGGGCAGAGCAGGGGTCTGTTCACGACTGACACGTTTAAAAGGGTTTTGTCAGAGAAAATTATATTATATTGATGCATTACACCACTTTAAATCAGGAAAAGATGCAACGAGGGTCTGCTTTATACAGAACCTACTGTGCATTTACAGTCTATGGATGACATGACACACCATCCAACATCAGTGCTAGCTAGTACAGCTGATGGCCAGTAGATGTCAGTGTTACATTTATTTTCTCGCCACATTGCCTATTTGCAGTTCTGCCTTCACCACAACCCTGATCATACCAATTATATTGTTGGTCACTTTCATAATAAACTTATACTTTTTTATAATGAAGATTACCCTGAAATGTGGCAGAATTCCCTATTGAGTTGAATAGCAAAGCAGAAATATGCTTTTTTCATGGCCATTACACACATTCTTCAATTTGTCCAGTTATTCCAAGGTCCATGTATGGCTTGTCTGTCTTTTTGCCATCAACAAAATGCTACCCATCAGATGTTCTTGGCAGTAGGCTTATATCAGAATGAGGACGGTTTCCTGCCAACTGGCTTCAATCAAGGACACGGTCATGGATGCACACTGGAATAATTTGATAAGATGCTGCCATGTGCTAAGAATGCAACAGAACACTGCATTGTTCCATGGTGCGAGGTTAATGTGTGGACTTAAATTCAAGGTCACAAGCATAAAGATAGAAGAGCAAGAGGCAATTTTAATAGACCACTGCTAATGCATTTGGAATGATTGGGAATTAATGTTTAATGCGCAAGGGAGATAAGCCCAATGAATCATACACTAACATACCCAGTTTACCATGGCTATAGCAGTGGAGGACAGTTACTAAGGACATGTTCTTAAGTGCAGTTTTGAGATACTTGCACATCATTTGATTATTTCCATTTCTTTCTGCTTTTTACTTCTACTCCAAAAGGAGGTAGATAAAATAAGATAAGATAAGATAGACCTTTATTGATCCCTGTAGTGAAATTCAGCTGTCATAGCTGCACAATAAGAATGAAACACCGGACAGTACAGAAAAAGAGTTTACACAAGAATTACAAGAATAAAAATAAGAGTACAAATGTAAGTAACGGTATAAATAAGAATAACAACAATAACGCAATAACGTAGATAAATGTACATGAACACAGATATTGTGCTTTTTTCAACCACATTTATTTGAACACATATTTAACATGATTTTTTTAGTTTAAAACAATGTATGGATGCCTTAGTGAAAATCAAGCTACTTGGCAGTAGATATTAAATAATACAAAATAATAAAAATGTTTACCACCTGCAATATATTTTTAATGAACACTTAATGCATCAATATTTATAGTTAAATATTATTATAAAACGGTCTGTTATGCATGATAAGTACTTTTGCTTTTGGTACTTTATGTATAACTTGATGCTAATGCTTTTGTACTTTTACAAATTTGAACACAGGACCTTTACTTGTAAAAGAGGACTGTAGTACTACTACTTTTACCTAAGTACACATTTTAATACTTCATCCATACCTGGTTATAGGCCTTCTGTATAGAAATACATAATTTAGTGCATAATAGCAGTCAACAGTACAGTATTATATGGAATAGTATAGTACAATAGTTGAATATAGTATTGTAAAAGTGTGTAGGATAGTACAGTATATGTGTATTTTACAATGACATAAATCAGTTTAGCACTATAAGTTGAGTATAGCTGTAATGTAAAGTAGACCTAACATTTCATAATGAGGTAAATAAAAAGGAATTAAATATAGTGCAACAAAAATATTAGAATATTATTATCTAAGAGTGGATTTCAATGTATGTTAATGACTCCTTTATATTGAATTGAATTTATATTTTCTTATACATTGCATGCTACTTTTTCATACAAACTCTCTGATCTCTGTTCTGATGATCTCTGACTCTCTCTTGAGTATTTGGCTGCGCCTTTCCTCCCACTCCCTTCCCATTTGCTTCATCAGCTCCATTTAACTGTATATCCTTGGCACGACTCTCCTCTCCATTGGTGTTTTTTTCCAGCTTGAATTCTGGGATATGACAAGAGAGGAAAAGGTAAACACCGGAAAAGAGTGTAAAGGCAGATTCAACTTCCACCAGGTCCTTATGTGGAGGAACTGTTAGTGGGTACTTTGTCAAAATAATATCCTGACCTTGTCACAGAGGAATCCTAAACTTATGTGTGGTGTATTTGTCTGTCATCCTGTTTACATAGCCTACTGAACACCCTCTAGTGCATCATACACAAGACTTTATATGTTGTAGCAAAGCCACAGCTTGACTACTAATGATACACAATAATGCATCTTTATTTGGAATGTCTTACTTGCATACTATAACAATGATTTCTTCATTAAACTCAGCAAGTGCAACATAAACAAATAACTGCTATATAATACACAGTACCCATTGTGAGGGAGGAATTGTCGGATAGGACCCATATGAGTTTTCGTTTTACAGACTTGCCTAGACTTGTGTCCGGGGGGAAATAAAAGCCCTGACACTGAATTTGAAAAACCTTGAGTGAAGAAAGCAGAGATAGAAAAGAAAATATCAAGTGAACCTTTGCTGTACCTTGAATAAAAATCATCACAATTTTTAAAACCTGAGATTAAAATCCTATGTGAACAGTGGTTACACTTCTGTTTCAGTTTTTCTTCAGTTTCAGTTTCTCAGGTGGTTTCATTGAAGAGGAAATATAATGCAGATTCATATTTGTATTTTTGTGCTTCTTCTTTGACATATTTACATGATTTCATGTTCAAAAGGTATTTATTTGTTCTCATATTGAAACTGCTGCAACACCTCTTTCCACCCTCTGTCTGAAACCAGAGCCCAGTCTTCTCTGATTGGTTTGGCCGGCCGGCCAGTTTCGAATGGCTCTGTGGTGATTGGTCGACCGCTTGATGTTCCGCCCCTTAGCCTCTCACGTACAATGTATTGGAGTGCTAGCCAATAAGCGTAAGTGTTACAAACTGATGTCACTATATTATGAAAGTAAACCAAGGAGTCCTATCGAGGCGTTTCAGGCAGGGGGTAGGGAAACTCCTTCTGGAGGGCACTTTGGGATTTTAGCCTTTGCAGACCATTTACATGCACAAAAACCTATATAACACATTACAGGACAGGAAAACCCTAAAAAAGGAAAAGGGCCCCTTTTTAAAATAACAAAATGTGTTCAAATGCATTATTACAAGTAATAAGATATTGCATTGATACAAATATAAACAATTTTGTAATCAATTATTAATTAAGCTATTTAAAGTTTATTATTTGATGCATTTTGACTTAAAGGGGACCTATCATGCAAAATGCACTTTTGTACGTCTTTTATACATGAATATGTGTCCCCGGTGTGTCAGGGAACTCACCAAGTGTCAGAAAACACAACCCTCTCTCTTTTCCTCCATACCCAAATCTCTAAAAACGAGGCTGCAACGGAGCTGATACAGATTTGAATTTTTATGACGTCAGAAAAGTGGTGCTCCACCTATATGGCCAACTCTCCACCTATCAGGGGAATGAGAGACCGCTCGAAAGCACTGGAGACGCTGTAGTACATATGCCAGGCCTGTAAGTGGCACTGTAGTCTGCCACAAAAGCAGCGAAGAAGACTTCCCGTGCATGGTTGCCATGGTGGCCCTTCTGTTTATTCTCCGCTGTGGCTCTTTTTCTCCCTCCCCGAGACAAACACCCACCTCTCCGCCTCTTCCAAGGAACGAGGGGACCGTGCGGCAGAGTTTCAGTTAGATTTTTTTCCGCCGGTCAACATGTCTGTTAAAGTTTAAATCTTCCGGACAAAATTAGAAAAGTGCCGGTCAAAGGTCTTCTTTGTTATTTATTGAGCTTTAAAACAAATGAATAATGACTCTATATAATCATATAAGAATAATACACGGAGGACGGAGCCTCTCTTTTCCTCCCCCTCTTCTTAGAGCCCATCAGCTGATCTCAAAGCACGCTCCCCTCTCCTGCAGGGGGACGTGGTCAGCTGCAGCTCATTTGCATTAAAGCTACGTCAAAGAATCAGCCCCCTGCAAAAACAGGGCTGGAAAAGAGCAAATAGAGCGAAATGAGGCATGGCTAAAATGCAGGATCTGTTTGGTATTTTGAAAAAAAAACGTCACAGACATGTTTTATATAGGTATGGCCCTACAATATATTTTTCAAATATAGCATGATAGGTCCACTTTAATATGATAGTAAACTGAATATTTCTGGACGATTTTTTGGGTCGATCATTTTGGGTTCTGGTAAAGTGTTATGGACTTTATTTTGCAACTGTTTTACAGTTTGTCCTTTCAATGCTTATCTGTTAATGGATATACTAATGCATGTCCACTTGTTTTTATATTTGCAAATGCCTATTTCCTTTCCATGCCAGTATTGTTTTAGGAAGAGCCACCACTTGTAGATTTAAATATAATTTGGAATAGCCAGTTGAAATATGAGACAAACATTTTTATAAACACAAACATTTGACTCATCAATTCATACTTTGAGCACCCTCTAATTACTTTACTTCTTAATATAATTGCTTCTCATCATCTGGGGGATGGATCTGATAACAAGAACATTTTTTAAATACTCTGCTGTCCTGATTTATTACCTCCGCTAAGGACGATATGTTTTCAATTGGTGAGTGTATTATAGGCAAAGGAAGAACACATTCGACTTTTTCGAATCACAATGTATTTTTCAAATGGGTTTGACATTGCAAAATATGGAA